GGAAGCTGCTTTCGAAATGTTATTTCGGAACCCATCCTCGAATGACATGAATTCAGTATTCATTTCCTGCGAGAAAAGCGGAAATTCTTCGGAAGTAAATTTTTCGAGGAAAATTCCACTTATTCCGCCGCGGTGTCAAGTGGCATTCTCGAGGGGTCTTCTCGGTCGTCCGAAAAGAGGCTGGGAAAAAATGCGGAAAACGTTTCAGGGATACTTTCATGCCAGGGGTTTCTCAAAAGTCTTGCGAATTACCCAAATATCGTAATTAAAGGCAGGCACTTTTATTCTAATTACGTGAGCCGCATTTTTCAAAAAGTCGCAATCTCGGTGCTGTGGATAAAAATGAGAGACAATCAAAATTGTTTTCAGTGGTAAACTCGTGACAGAGTCTGGAATTTTCTAGTCAAATTCTGAATTCTTCCATTTCAAATGATAAATTTGTCATATTTAAATCTGCTGCTCTATAAGGGCGTTTCAGCAAGTACCTTTTGAAATTATTTTTCAACCACCGTCGGAATTTTACTCCTTTTAAAATGGCAATCGCAGATTTTGAAATTTCCCAAGTATTTTAAAAATCTCTGCATAGTTGACAATATTTCCTTTGAAGGAGATTTTTCAATTTTTCTACGCTTTTAAGGGACGAGAAACCGGCCAATAAAATAAACACATGGCCCGTCCGTTTCTTTTGCAATTTTTTTATTCACATGTATTTACCACTTTTCTAATATTGGTTTCCATTCCATCACTGCTCATAAAACAAATTCTTCACAAAAAACTTACTGAAGCTGATCTCATCGTTTTTGCTGCTTTTGAATCCTGGAGAACTGAGGTGAACACCCTTATTTTTTACAATCCAACCAGCAGACTTCTGCAAAATTCCTTTATTTATTCCGTGGAAGGCGGGAAAAAAGCCAGGAAATGCCATGTTGAATCAAAATATTTAGAAAAAAAATTAGTTTCCTTCTGCAGCAGATTTCTTAATTTTCTACGCTTTCCGTGGTTCAGACACTTCACAGATTCCATAAAATTGGCATATTTTTCTTCACCCACATTTCATGGACTTGATATTTTGTATATCATCTCCATTCACTACTGAAATATAATAGCACAACGTGCGTGGTTCAAAATTTATTTAATGGAGATAATCAAACTTGTTTTTCTAGTCTTGACCAGGCAAAGTGAAACCAACTTCTTTTTCCGCAAAACCCACGGGACTTTCGCGAAAATCCCTCGCAATATTCCTGCTGGAAGAACGCAAAGGCAGTAAGAAAAGTGCTTTGGATCGCGGGAAATGCGTCGTTTTTGTCGTCGTCGTATATTCGTCTGGTCGTCCTTTCTTCGCCACAAGTTGAGAAGAATGAAAATAAGAGTAAGTGCGCGTTTTCGGTTCACGAAGTGCCTGTCGGCTTTGGCACCACACGCGTTTCCGGCTTCAATAAGCAAACAAACTACTGGTCGTCCTTTCTTCGCCACAAGTTGAGAAGAATGAAAATAAGAGTAAGTGCGCGTTTTCGGTTCACGAAGTGCCTGTCGGCTTTGGCACCACACGCGTTTCCGGCTTCAATAAGCAAATAAACTGACAACCGGTTTTCTGCTGCTGAATTCCCTATTCCGACCACAGAAACCGAACTCTGGTATATCCTAATGGTCTATTTCCGCCTTTTTTTCTGCGGTCTGAATCTGTGAGAGCAGGTGATGCGGGTTGAAAATCGGATGAATGTTCACCGATTCACCGGGGATTTTCTGAGATTTTCCTTCAGGTCCTGGGCATACGTTTCAATTATTTTTCAATCGGAAAAATTGAATTTCCAAAAGTGAGTTGAAGGAAGAAAACCAACCCATCCCTAAGCAGAAGGGGAAAAATAGTTCAATGATGAAATTTTGAATTTTATTCTTTGCCTCTTGTTAACATGGTCCATTATTCAGGCTTATTTTTTCAGGATTAACTGACTTATTTACGTTTGAACTTGAAGCTGAATTTCCGTCTTTACACGAACTTCTGAGTCAGAATCTGTAATATACGACAAGGCGATCACTTTTGCAAGCATTGATTTATCTGCTAAAAAGGGCATTTCCCATTAATTGGGCACACAATTAATTGGGTACATCCTTGACTTATTCGGTATCCTTGATATTACGGAGGAAATTTTACTTTCTACGCAACAAAAATATGGTAAGATTGCCGTATGTATTTTTTTTATTTGTACAGGGTTCTCTGAATCTACGATATTTCACTCTTATAATTTTTTCGGTTGATTTGGCATATTTTATATCCTGCCTAATATGCCGAAAAAAAAGCATAAAACAAGTACAGTACTGGCACGTTTACCCATTATTTTCCCACTATGATGGAAAGATTGTCTTCTCTCATCATATTCAACCTACCTGAGCAAATATTATTCCCAAATATTATTCTGAACGAGTACGTCCATCGATCTGTACCCATTAAACATATTTCAATAACGAGTCAGACAAGAGTTAGACTGAAGAAACGCATGAATCAAACCGTGTTTGTTTGGACGAAAAAGCAATTGCCATTTTATTCGCATATTTGCATCTTTAACTGGAGATGTACGACGCTTTTCGCGAAGTTTTCTTTCAACAATTTTTGTCTGAAATTATCTGCTTCATGCCTGAGAAGAATTCTACTGAAAAACCTATATAGAGAGCACATTAAGAGCCATTTTTCAAATGACCTGTGATGATTTTTGAAGAAATACTGTACTTTATTCCTCCAGTAGAACACTTTGACAGCTGGAAGAATGCTTCTGACCGTTCTGATACTTTTCTGAAATTTCATTCCTATCAAATTTAGACCATACACGTTTGCAACAAATATTCGAACATGATTGTGGGAATTTCGGATGCAAAATCCAATGAAGTCGAACCCGCGAATAAAACTTTGGGGCAAAATTGGATTTTTGTTGTTCTTGACTGCGTAAACACCTCAATAAGTTGAAAAAAGAGCAAATTATATTTTTCTCGTCAACTGCAGTACATTACAGTATTTTTATTATTGAAATAGATTTTGCAGAGAAGAGAACCAATACATGGAGTACCTCCTGTTCGGAAAAATAGTGGAAATTTCGGCGTTTCTAGGTCAAATTGATGGTTCTTCGTAAATGAATAAAACTACTTCCGCTACATGTGGATTGAAGTCAGAAAGTATACGAGTATGTGTAACACGGAAGAAATGCTAGGATCAAAAAGTTGCTTTTTCATCATGTACCACGAAAAAACACCTAAAAAGTTAAAAAAAAAAACTTGAAAGTTGCTCTTCGTCTGCTTCTTCCTTTCCAAGTGCCACGCATGAAATTCATGTTTCCCTTGGGCTATGCAGGAAGGGACAAAAATNATGAAATTTTGAATTTTATTCTTTGCCTCTTGTTAACATGGTCCATTATTCAGGCTTATTTTTTCAGGATTAACTGACTTATTTACGTTTGAACTTGAAGCTGAATTTCCGTCTTTACACGAACTTCCGAGTCAGAATCTGTAATATACGACAAGGCGATCACTTTTGCAAGCATTGATTTATCTGCTAAAAAGGGCATTTCCCATTAATTGGGTAAATCCTTGACTTATTGGGTATCCTTGATATTACGGAGGAAATTTTACTTTCTACGCAACAAAAATATGGTAGGATTGCCGTATGTATTTTTTTTATTTGTACAGGGTTCTCTGAATCTACGATATTTCACTCTTATAATTTTTTCGGTTGATTTGGCATAGTTTATATCCTGCATAATACGCCGAAAAAAGCATAAAACAAGTACAGTACTGGCATGTTCATCCATTATTTTCCCACTATTATGGAAAGATTGTCTTCTCTCATCATATTCAACCTACCTGAGCAAATATTATTCCCAAATATTATTCTGAACGAGTACGTCCATCGATCTGTACCCATTAAACATATTTCAACGAGTCAGACAAGAGTTAGACTGAAGAAACGCGTGAATCAAACCGTGTTTGTCTGGACGAAAAAGTAATTGCAATTCTATTCGCATATCTGCATCTTTCACTGGAGATGTACGACGCTTTTCGCGAAGTTTTCTTTCAACAATTTTAGTCTGAAATTATCTGCTTCATGCCTGAGAAGATCTCTACTAAAAAACCTATATGTATAGAGAGCACATTAACAGCCATTTTTCAAATGACCTGTGATGTCTGTGATGATTTTGGGAGGAAATACTGTACTTTATTCCTCCAGTAGAACACTTCGACAGCTGGAAGAATGCTTCTGACCGTTCTGATACTTTTCTGAAATTTCATTCCTATGTTTAAATCTGGTATGTGCAAACGTTGTTTATAAGCTTGTACTAACACCCTTAAAGCCTACGTTTTAGGTTACTTCAGCTTGGGCGCTTATTTTGAAACCCCGTTTTAACCTAAAAACAACAAGAACTCTGCGTAAACACCTCAATAAGTCGAAAAAAGAGCAAATTATATTTTTCTCGTCAACTGCAGTACATTACAGTATTTTTATTATTGAAATAGATTTTGCAGAGAAGAGAACCAATACATGGAGTACCTCCTATTCGGAAAAATAGTGGAAATTTCGGCGTTTCTAGGTCAAATTGATGGTTCTTCGTAAATGAATAAAACTACTTCCGCTACATGTGGATTGAAGTCAGAAAGTATACGAGTATGTGTAACACGGAAGAAATGCTAGGATCAAAAAGTTGCTTTTTCATCATGTACCACGAAAAAACACCTAAAAAGTTAAAAAAAAAAACTTGAAAGTTGCTCTTCGTCTGCTTCTTCCTTTCCAAGTGCCACGCATGAAATTCATGTTTCCCTTGGGCTATGCAGGAAGGGACAAAAATCTGCATGAAGCAAAATTGTTGGGGCCTGGAAAGTGTCACATCTGCCTTCAAGTTGCGAGTTCCGTGACCTGCAGCAGCGATTTTAGCATTAACAATGAGCTGCAGAGACTCGAGAAAGAGCCGGAAATGTCGATCTTTTTTTTTGAAAGCGTTACAATATTCATCGTTTGGCTGTATTTTCTTGTGTTCAGGATGTTTCTCAAATTTTGCGAATAGACCTTTATTTGTGACGGCCATCGGAAGAGAGGTGTTGGGTGTGCGTCATGATGGCGGCTGGAAACATCGAAGAGGTGGAAGACGGCACCAAATCGAAACCGGATCTGCGAATGACTGAAATCAAGTGGGTTTTTTCTCTCTATCAATCAATAAATATGTCATCAAGACCTGTCTGTTTACAAAAGTCAAAAGTAAGCACATGAGCGCGTAACTGCCAATTCCTTTCATGGCATTTTAAAACTGATCATTCGCCAATGAAGAACGAAAATCACTCGGACAGTTTTTTAGTGGATGAAAATACGTGTCACATTCCAGAAATATTCTCCAACATTTAATAGCTAGCACCAATTTTATTCAGAAATCTTTGTGTCCTAAGACCTACTTAATATTTATTTGTGAGAAATGCAAGCGAATATAAATAAACCCCACAAATTGACGCTTCTTATGTATGCATCCTTTTATTCGTGTATTATTCGCCAGAATGATCGTTTGCAAAATTAAATTAAATTACGAAATTAAATTATGTGCTCTATATGCGAAGTACGTAAAGTGAAAATTTCCTCGAATTAAATTTGAAATTCCAGCTTATCCTGCATAAGTACTGTAGCTGTTTTTAATTCAGTCCAGAAGTTTATCAGCCCCTCAATTTGATCATTTAGCTGACACCTAGATTACTCAACAAGAAGGAATCAACATACAGTAATACAAGCTCACAGTGAATACAAATTCCTGAGGAAAATTCCCGACTGAAAACGACTACATAAAAGATACGAACACGGAAGTCATATGTTTGGGTCAGGCTTGGAAATCTCGGCTATATCAGCTAATGCTTTGAGAGCAACTCGCATAGTACAGTATGAAGCCTTTCTCATCAAAGTAGAATGCGGATGCAAAGTTTTGTTTCTCCTACTCCAACTTCAAAGGCAAGGCCTTTGGTGGTTCTCAAAATGGATTCCATAGTGGCACATTACATGGCTATCAAGTGTGGCTGATTTTCCTGTAGGAAGTTCTCAGTTCCTGGAAATATTCTGATTTATAAATAGATATCGACGCCTTCTGTGTGAAGCGAAAGTTTAAGAGCAAAACTCTGACGCATGGCGTGTGAATCATGACTTTCCGCATCCTCTCAACTGAAAATTTCCAAGAATGCTTTACAATAAGTGCGGTATTTCTGATTCCATCCGAAGGTCTGTTTTCGATCACTCAGACTAATTTGCTGAAGAGCTTCCCCAAAGCAGGCCTGAAATTCTAAATGACGATGTCCTCTAAATTCCAAAGGTCGACATGTTCATTTCCGGAAAAAAAAAATTTGTTTTTAAATGGATTGCTCAACAGACAGATTTCTTCTGTAATATGGTGATGCCTCCTTCGAAAAAATTCTTGATGTTTACAGTTGTGAATCAACCATTCGATTCTTGATTTATTTTTGAGTTTTATCTGCTTTGACAGTAGAATTTTCCGGCAACTTTATTTCTAGTCCGAAAATAAATTTGGATATTTTCTATGAGCTTTCAAATTCATGAAATCCAAGAAGAAAAACACCGGGGATGTTTTTCCTTTCGGTGAGAGGCGATTAACGTTAATGGTTTGGGTTGATCGATAATTATACACGTTTTATTTTCTGATTTTCAGAGTTCGAAAGGTTCACAAAATTTACCCACATCCCCTCACGCATTGATTCAACACATTCCAGCTCATCAAAATAATCCATTATATAGGAATTAAAAGAAAATATGGCAATTACTCTGAGCATAATGATAAATAAAAGCACGCGGCGTCATTATCAGCATGTTCCCAGATAATTTTTAATTGATTACGTAATTCAGAAATTTTTTTTTGAGGAGATTTCATATCAATAATTTCATCATCAACTTGCACCGAGTTTCTGGGAATGGCTCATGCATGTAATTCTAGGAAACTAGAATCAGGAGTCGCGTAATTGATTACAAAGATTCCATCATGTCAGACTTCTAAAGATTTTGCGCTCTTGTGAACAAGACTGCTTGGTTTCACTATCGAACTCATACCAGACTGCTTTTTGATGCTGGTCCTATTCTTGGACGCATCAAGACATCAAAGCCACGGATTCAGGAGGCGGGAAAAGCGAGAAGGAGAAACGAACATGAATCCTTCTTCTGAAGGATTCGTTTCTTCCATTTCAGAAATACGAGCACATATGAGCGTTGGTGCATCCAGGTTTTTTTTTTGTGGTAATTATAAAAGCATTGGCTCATCCTTTTGGAGTACATATTTGCTTGGTTGGAGATACGGATACGCTTTACAGAGTATTATTCAACCATTTCATGGCTGCTCTTCCAGTGTTTGCGCATCCTGATTTAAATTCAAACAAGATATAACATCCCATCACTATACGAGGAAATAGTGTGAGAAAATAATTTCTCACAAAGACGCATATTGCTAAAAGGCCGAAATAATTAGCTACTTATTGCTAGAGATCTTATGCTTCAAAATAAATCAAAGGGCACAATAAGCTGGGCTGTGGCCAGCACTTTATATGTCCTAGTATCAAGTCATTATGTTCTTTGAAGGAGAGGTTTTGAGATGCATTTCCTGAGTTTGAATAAATGCTTTCACAATTTTCTTAAATGAGACTGATATACTGACTTATCGCCAGAGATCAGCTCAGGATAAATGCACATCCGCAAGTGCCAATATATCAATGGGGTTCAGCGAAGAAATTTTCTGGATGGACTAGCTGGAGGTCAAATTTTAACATATCTCTGGGAAAGACTTTATTCCAACACTTTCGGATTTGTCCTTGACAAAACTTAGACCTGGGTTTGGTTCTCACATCTCAGGCTCTTCAGGAAGGATTTAAATCCTAATTGGAATGTTTTTGTTGATTAGTCAAGTGGTTTTCTGATGCCAATCTGCCATTTTTTCTTAAATACAATTCACTTTTACCTTGTTGAGTTAAAAGACTCGATAGATAGATTTGCTTTATTCGCCACTTTTTGTCAGCATTCAATTCAAAACATTTTGCTAGCCCCCCTATAGTACTGTATATGACATCCATCTACTAAAAATTTTAGGTTCAAGAGACTCAAAGTCAAATGCCAACTGATAAAAATTTCTAGCGAAATAATTTAGGCTTGTTCCTTCAACTCAACTTCGGGATGAACTGCAATCTGACTCGCCAAAACCAATATGATAAGTAGAAATACGGAAACACTTTCGGAATGCCCCCTGCATTATATTCTTGAGAGTGTTTTTCTCCAGGCAACGGTTTAGGATCAGATCAAAGCAGCATTCGGACTTTCAAAGTAGCCATTCGAGTGAAATCGCTGATATGTCCTTCTTTGAGTCGGATTGCAGGAGGTACGCAGTAAATCGGGTACCGTTCAGGATATTAGATATTAACAAGAGGGGTTCAACTCTTGCTTTCTTGATGTATGAGGTGTCAGCTTATCTCAAGCAAAGGCTTAATTAATATTTAATCTATCATCGATCTCCTTTTTTTTTATCCTCGAAACAAGAAATGCAATTCGGGAGTCATATGAAGCAGATTCTTACGATAGAACTTCTTGCGTCAACTTATGTTTATATTTTTATGCCTTTTCACAATTCTTTGATGGTATCAGCACTGGGAAGAATCTGACTTATCTTTAAATGATACACTCTTTAGAGCAGTTTAGGCTATCTTCTTCCAATTGATATTTGATCAGCGAATTTTTAATATTTTTTGGGAACCCTTTATAAGTACTGCTGAGGTGTTCAGAAGTGCATTTGGGACCCGTCTCGTTTATCTGGTGCAGTTCAAGTTGTTTCTTAATAATGATATTCATTTCATGGTTATTTGTGTATCATGTTTTCTTGCACCCACACTATAGAAAGTGCGGATTCAAAGTGTATTTCTTAGTTTTTTTTTATTCGCATGCATCATACAGTAGTTTACATTTTTAAAGATTCCTTTTTTTTAGGGGGAACCCTGTATAGAAGTGATACTGTATGCATAGAAGTTCATATAAGACCAACTGAAAAGTGAACTCGAAATATCTCTCTCATCAAAGGGAGTCGGTGTGAGTGAGGGCATGAAGTTCCCATCCGGTTTTTCCAGGCGTGAACTGGATGTTTGATGGGCTGGTCGGGCGCACTTCCGGAAAATTTTCTGGGGCCTATTTCGGAGCCTATATGCTGCTGGGAATGGGCCTGGTTTTGCATTCTGACAACTTTCTCTTTCTGTAATTTCTTGGAACAGGGTCTACAAGAAGTCGACTCCGAACGGGAAGCTGTCGCTGTATTTGAATAACCGGGAATTCCCGCTCAAGGCTGGAAGGACGACCGTGGTGGACGGACTGGCTGTGATCAACCCTGCTGCTGTCAAGGACAGGCTTGTATATGCACAGGTATTTATCACTCCCTTTTTTTGCACCCCCACTATATACAAGCAAATAACCCGCTGTCGGAGGGGTTCCGAGGAAACCCTGACTGTCTAGGAAAGTTCAGGGCGAAGGTACAGCCGAGCGAAAATATTTTTCAGCTGGAAGGATCGAGTCATCTCATGTTTACATTTATTCTGCAGCGCTGGTTTATTGACTTTGTATGCATATATCATCGTATTCAAAAGAACGGAAAAAAAACTTTGCAATGATGCAAATTTCCTATCGGCAACGCAAGAGCATACTGTTGTGAAATAGATCAGCATTTTTGCGTGAAAAAGATTATTACCACTTTCAAAAAAGCAGAGTATTTCACATGAAGATTGATCACAATTTACGAAATACTTATGAGCTAAGCCAATCATAAGTGGCAATTTTTTTTCGTAATTAGCTTGGTTCATATGCATACCTTTACATTTCATTGGAGGATTCTGACCTTCGATTATCTGTGTCTATACTCGAAGGACTCGGATTCGAAGTAGGCCAAACATGTTTCAATCATGCATTAATGGATCAAAAGTCAAGTTTAAAAAAAAAGGTCTGGGTAAAACCCAGATGTGTCTGTATAAAGCAACGGTAAACATACCACACTTCCATCAGAACATGAAATTCCGTGAGAATACATTCATCAAGCTTCATACAAGGGGGCCCCGACATGCAGACGCCCCGACGTACGGACGATTCGACTTGTGGAAACTTGGGAACTCAAAAAATCTACCCCGACATCCGGGCAATGTCTTGAGATATTGACACTACCTAAATTTCCAGACACAACATGTTGATGTCTTTTGAACTAATTGAGCTTTTTATCCTCAAAAAAATAGATTTTATTGAAAATTCAATATAATTGATAATCCAAAACAGGCGCATTTTTTGCTTATTTTTCGGAATTATTTCCATTTGCTGTGTACAGTATCGGAAGACTTGAACTTGTTCTTTGGTATTTGCTTTCTTCTTATGCCAAAAGTTCAGATATTGTGGGGTTTTTTTTACCAGTTATTTTCTGCGTCTTGAAGTTGAGAGAATTATTTTATCTAAGTTGGGGGGGGGGGGGTTCCTCATTCTTGAACGCAGGAAAACCAATTGAAGATACTTCCAATGCTATTTTAACGGGATATGCGACCCAACATGCGGACAGTCTGACATGGGAACAAGGTCCAAGCACCAATCACGTTCGCATCTCGGGGCCCCACTGTATTTATATCCATGTCTGTTTTCGCAGCTCCACAATTGCATCCCACTTTCAAGAAAAGACAATGAAAAGACAGGTTTCTGCAGCTAGTATACTCATCAAAATAACGGCACGGGTTTCCATGACTCTCTTTATATATGGACCAGCTTCCCAAAGCCATACCAAAACAGACATGACCTTCTGGAAACGGTTTGATCACCACGGTGGCTTCTGTGCTTGCTATATAGAGATATGACAAACCTTTGAGGGGAACCTTTCACGAATCAGGCCCTGCATTTTCACGAAATCAAAGCTTTTCAAATAAGATCTGCGCGTTTTATACACTTAACGGATATTAGGTCTTTATGGTGAGATGCTTTCAATAAAACAGGATCCCGAGACTATTTTGGGATGGCTTTTCAGTCCTTTGATGGCATTTCGGAGGCCTGGAACATTCCGATTTTCCAAGATCAATGTGTAACTTACAATGATGAGCTGGGAAGCAGAAACGTGGCTGTCTTGCATCTAAATTCTGAAATAGCATCCTAAAAAAACACATGAGCGATTATTCGCAGCTCGAATGTAAAGCATTTTATTGTAAAGGAAAGCGTATTTATTCATGAATTCCATTTTATTTCGGCGGGGAAATTTGAAATTTTTTATAAAATTTTTGCCCAATGCGTCTAAAATTTGACGGAATCACTTTGACTCGGGAAAATTTCCTGAACCATGCTAATTTAAAAAAACACTGTTATTAATTTCGGAAATTCGAGGCAATAATTTATCATGGTTTTCTCGTATATGGCAAGTGGCGTATTATTTAACTTAGAGCCTCGACGTTGGATAAGCGTATTTAGACAATATCCGAGTGCACTTGAACTTTTTTCTTTTTCCAGGCTAATAGGATTTTTTTTCAAGGATATATTCTTGTTTGAGGAAAGCAGTCAACAGTTTTTCCGCCTCTCTTTTCAGTACACATTTGTAACTTCTTGAAGAATTTTGCCCTTTCTTTTTCACAAATTATAGAATTGAAAGAATATCTTAGTGGGACGATGCAGAAATAAGCTTCATTTATTGACACAAGGGCAACTATAGAAAGCCTTTGCAGTAATTTCCAAGTGACTGATTCAAAAAATTATATTTCAGTTTTTGCACAAGTTCGTCGTAAGGTTTGTGCATTTTATGACTCGAACAATTGAAAACGCATCGCAAAATTGGATGAAACACCAACTTGAATTGAGAGCTGGATATACTTACGCTCCATGCTGAGATACGCCTTCACAAGTTCAGAAGCTATACTACTTGGAACCCTGCTGATTGGCCCAATTACCAGTGAACCCTTCCAGGGTTCACGCCAGCTTAATTTTTCAAGCACTTGACGATGCTAGCCGTCGACTCGGATTAATGGTTGGCCTCTATATTCTGCAATGTTCTCCGTCCCACGAAGGGAGGGACTAATTGTGTTAAAAGGGCATCAATTATCCCCGCTTTCCCCACCTTAATGCTTGTTCCAGGAACGGGATTACTTTGACCTTTGTCTCTTGCAAAAACTTTCTTTTTTCGTTTTGGGCAAGTAGAAAATAAATACCTAATCACGAGTGATTTTCCAGCCGGATTCGGTCTAGAAAAACCCGACTCACTCTTATTGCGTTTCAATCCATTTGGATTCATTGTCTGCATCTTCTTCAGGAGAACGATAATTTTATGCTAAATTAATTTCCGAAAATTGGCGTGAGCATTTAATGTGATTCTAGACTTTGAGTGATCTGGAATGGAAAATAAATCTGTGATTCACGTCAGAGATGATTGAAGGACGGAATTCAATGAAGCGTTTTATAGATGAAAAAAATTGAGGTTATGTGTTATTTTCAAGCGCTGGTGAGATAAGGTTGTCTTGAAAAATTCAGATTATTCATTTTATTCAACAGCGCGGCATGTTTTCAAATCTCGATGGGAAGTGACGTCAGCCTCGTGTCTACTAAAGGCAAAAAAAATTGATGAACGCGTTTCTTGCGTGGAATACAAGGGGTGATTCAAAACATTCGCAATTTTCTCGAAATCGGAATCTCTTGGCTCCGACGACTCTTCCAAATCGGAATACTTGGAACCACAGATAATTGATGAATCAGTTACATGGTCGGGATAAATCATCAGATCAGTCACTTTATGAACGTCTTTCAATTTTAGCAGAGGTATTGGTGGATTACTGATTGCCAAATGAGATACATCAGCATTCTTCATACTCAGCATGAATAGGACAAAATTATAAAGTAAATGTTCCATTGCAACCTGGTCATCACGTCGCGGAAATCATCAGTAACAATATTTCATAACTATAGGAAAAATATTTTGGGCAATGCTCGATCAAGCTAATTTTAAGGCACGAAAGTATGCAATTTTTGGCAGGTGATCATTTTCTCCTTAATCTTCGGGGCTTGTTCAATTTCAGTATGAAAAGCATCAGGGGCCAGAAACTATTTTTTGTAAACCTTCGATGAATTTTTCGTCTTCCTTTCTATATTGACCCAACAAGGGAGGAAACGGTGACCTAGCAAAAACTTGAGACCCAACCTTCCTATAATACAAGAAAAAGCAACAACGCAGCTTGCCTGGGGCTATTATTCACAATACACAGTACTATATACACGTTTCTATGTATACTCTGACGAAAACATACGGGAGTACATGCATGTCTTTAAATTTAAGAGTAAAATGTAAAAAAAAAAAATTATAACGGTATGCTTTCCTTGAAGAATCCTGCGTCGGTTTGACGTCATCAACGTGATGTTTTGTGCATGAAGAAAAACAACAAAAAGACCTTTTTCCTTTGTGTGAAAAATCGATTCTTTTTTTTTTTTTAAGGTGCACCTGAATTTCCGCTACGGACGCGAGGATGAGGAGGTGATGGGACTCACGTTCTCCACTGAGGCTGTGTTGTCATCCGAGGTGATTTACCCTCCGGAACAAGCCACCATCAAGAACCACATGTCCCGGTTCCCTTTGACCACGTTCCAGGTAATACTTCATCGATCAGACGAAAGAAAAAAAAAACCGGACTTACTTTTCTTCAGTTGAAAAAAAAAAAACTAAAATATGTGCCTGCTTCATCGCAGAGAAAAAATCGCGCGAAACCGGAATCGTTTTTCCACGTCAAAAAATGTTTCGATTCCTGTAGCGATTTCCGGTGACTGGTCTCTTTTTTACGGATTCTTGATGCCTAATAGGGTCGATTTTGTAACGTGTTGAAAATAAAATTTCAGTATCTGTCGAAGAATGATGTGATTTAGACGATTTTGTGTGAGCAGTTCGGTCATTGGTTCTTTTCAGTGGAACGCTTGCTGTCCACAACTTGGAAATTCTCTTGGTCATTATAAATATGTTCAATTTCTTATTACGTCTGCTGAAAGGTTAAAAAGTGCCATGTTTGGTTTGGCGAGGCTCATTTTACTTCAGATTACGATTAATGGTTTTATTTTTGACAGAGGTTGATGATGCTGGCGATTCCAGCCTAAAATTTCTATAGCGACAAAACCGGCCTGGTAATGAAAAGAGCATAACTAAATTCTGCAATTTCAAATCAGGTAATTTGCTGGATTTAAAAGCATTCAATTTTTCTTGAAAATTTCGAAGAGAATTGTAAATTGTCTGCACTTGAATTAATGAAAGAGGAAAGCAAGCAAGACGGAAAACGCATTGATTTCAGCAAAGAGCTCGTCGAACGTTGCGCTTTGGGCTGAAAAGGATCTGAACCTTTGCCCCAGGGAAAGAGTACTTTCCAGATTGAACTTGTGGGCGAAACGCGACGGGGGGTATTTTTTTTTCATAGGAGCAAAAATCCAGGAGCAAAGATTTTTAGAAAAAGCTTTCAATCCTTCTTACTTTTCGTCTGACGTTGATGGAGGAAAATTTTGCGGTCGATGGCGCTTGTTCGATAACGGTGCTGTTTTTCTTCTTTCTTCTTATTTTTTTTTTCAAACCCGGAAGGATGTGCTGATGAAGAAGATCGGCGAGGAAGCGATCCCGTTTTTCTTTGAAATCAGCGAACTTTCCCCTCCGAGCGTCCACTTGAACCCAGCCAAACAGTACGAGGGATCCCCCATCGGGATTTCGTACGACGTCCGAATTTTTATGGGTGAGATCTTTTTCTTTCGCTCTTTTATAAATTTCTGAATCAAGATCAACTGTGGTCGATAACCTTTTGAAGATATTAGGACTTATCGACTGAAATTCCTGAATAGCTTTCAAAGACGATGGAAAGACTTCATTGACTTACTCGGAGGCATGATGAAAACATCGGGTTGAAAATAGCTTTTAAATCAAGCTTACACTTGTGAACCTATTTTTCTTTCTTTAAAAAAAAAAAGATATAAAATTTGACTCTCAAGGCGTGACATTCATGTTAGATGTAAAATAAATCACTCAGCTTTTGGTCCAGATTTACAGGTGATGAAATCTATTAGGAATATGATTATACTGTACTATAGTATAATGTTGGCACAAGCCCAAATATTTTTGGAATTTTAGCTCTTTCTGATCCTTCTGGAACTTTTGAAAATTTGTGCTGGATTTTAAACTGAAAAGCTGATCCTTTGTTGAGATACATTTTTCAGGAAAAACACGTACGAATTATGATTATGAGAATTTAATATTGAGTTTAGTGATTATTTTCAATTCCTTAATTTTTTGAACCCATGCAGTCAGAGACCCGCTACATATAGCCTCAAAAATTGAGTGATAATTACTTTTTTTAAATGATCAGCAGCAATGGTTGATGTCATTCAGATGCGTATGGATGTCACTCGAATATTAAATTCAAAATTTTGAATACCCTTGCCGACCCAAAAGATTTACGCAACTTTCACCTTTGCTCATTTAAAAAAATCCGCATATTCTTTTGAGTTTGAGCTGAAAATTAAATTATGTAATATCACAAAAGAATTTTTCTTCAGTCCGAGTCCGATTTATTTTTCCGTCTCAGATGCGGGTGATTGTGTGCGACGGTAATAGCGTCAAGTAATATCTGCAACCTGCGATATTGGAACGATCCTTTTTTCTGTCTCCTGTCCTTGATCCTGCCGTTTTTCCTTGTCAGAAGTCTATTGATAAGACTTGGCCTTAATATACTCGAGTTATATAGGGAAAGCAGGATTAGGTCTATGACGTAATCAATCACAATCACCAGCTGCGATTTGATTCCGGTCTCCGGAGTCCCACGCGATCCCCGCTGTCTATTATTCCTGCCGTTTCATTACTGAAGTCCCATTTACACCCTTGCATACTGAATATACAGGGTGATCTCAAGAAAAACTATTATTTCCGGTTCTTTCCTTTCTTCATAAATTGTGATTTCAATTGTCCCTTCATGCAATTTTGGGATGTGAAGCGTCGATCGGATTTCTTTATTTTTAGCCCTTTCATGCGGCACTTCCCAAATATTTTCGCGATGTGCTATAAAAAATATTTCGATGGTCAAATCTTGAAGGAAACCATCGTACATAACTTTCAATTCACATTGGCCGTGACAATGAAAAATTCAATATTTCAAGACGTTTATTTAGAAAAATTAGGACCGATTCGCAGACAGATTTTTCCAAACACTGTATCTAAATTTCACTCGAAATCATTCTTTTTTATTTAATTCAGAATTTGCTTTACTTTTAAATTATCTACAATGTTATAAATATACACCATGCATTACAAGAATATCACTAGTACAGTATTTTGAATGCGATCGAATATAGATAAAACCGTGACGAGCTGTTTAGTCAAAATTCTGAAAAGCAAAGGTTGAATTCGCGATAAAATTTGTTGTTCAGATACTTTCGTTTTCTGTTGCTGTACTTGGGGAAATTGAACCATCACACACCTGCCAACTGTTCCCATATGAACGGAAAATACCGCCGTTAATCAAGTGCCAGAATAAAATGGAGCCACGTGGATCAAAATTGCAGGCTTCGTTCCACGCAATTCATGCTGTTTTGCCTCATTATCATCGTCTGAGTTAAATGAAACGTGCTAATTACGAGGATATTATACATCGGGCACTTCCTCCGGGAAAATTGCAGCAGAAAAATGTAGCTCGGCATTTTCGCACGCTCAAAGAGTTCATTGCCCGTTTTTAGCCCCCCAGGGCTCATGGCATGCGTGGGGATCTCCCTCGTGTTTGCAGATAGCACATCACGCGCCTCGCAGAAAACAAATTTCCGCTCTTCTGCCAGCAGACGCGATCAATAATACAGCAGACGCATTACACGCTATTTTATCTCGGTGCATTTCAGAAATACTACGCCTGGGACGAGAGCATCTCAGATCCTCAAGGAGATTGACACTTAATTTTCTTGACTTCACCTTCGGAAAAGTATACCCCTTGAGAAAACAACAGATGCAGTTTTCCGGGGGGTACCTTCAGAAAATACTGACTAATATGGAATAGAACTTGAAGATACGGTGCTTTTTGTAATATGATTTTTAAATTACTGTAATATGCAAATTTTAAATTTTTTCCATGTGGCCACTTGACACTTGAATACAACTTGAAATAATACGAAGGGAGAAATATTTTACTTCAGAATAGTCCAACTTTAAAAGCGTCATGGTTTTCTTTATTTTTTTTCAGGTCTAAGGCTAATTAAAAGCAATGAAATGATGAAATGCATTGGATAAATCACTCTCTTTAATTGCAATGCATCTCGTGGATGCCTAGCTCAATATTTTGAGATTTTTACACTACTGTATCTGGTTTAATTTGCGCGGAATAGTTTCAAGTAATATTTTGATTAACCAGCAAAACTTAAAATTGTTTTGTTTTTCTCAACATTGCATGGTGGATTTCAGAATGACACTATTTTGCGAACTACATCTAAAACTTGAAATCGCTGTAGAATAAAGCTGAAAGTCGGAAAATCATAAAAAATCCTTCCCAACCTTCGCAGCTTGATCTAATCATTTTTTTCTTTACCGTAATTAAGAGCATCTCGTATATATTTTTTTCTTTTCTACATCACCCAACCATAAATTTTGCTGATCCAAGAGGAATAATATCCAAATTTCTTCCAACTTTAGCAAATGCACGCCTTTTCTCTTTTGTCAATCTGACGCAAGGATTTGGGTGAGGCAATATATAGACGATGAAATCTGACGTGAAAGAAAAATGGCTGCCAAAGCCAGTGGGCGAAGGCCCGAAGGGGGATCGTCGGGACTCGGGACTGAATGCTACGGATGGATGCATTTTCACGTTTATACTTTGTTTTCTCACTTTCGTTTTCATGATAGCATCTCAGAACGAGCGGCCACAGCGGAAGCACACAGTGCGGATGTCCATTCGGCTGTACCGAGAGTGCCCTAGGAACCTGTTGCCCACCGACCCGCCCAGTGTGTACGGGGAAAAGACCTTCATGCTCTGCGACGGCAAGGTCACGCTCACGGCGTCCCTGGACAAGAGCGTCTACTACCACGGAGACACCATCTTTGTCAAGATGAAGCTCTGCAATCTGACAAACCGCACCATCAAACGCATCCATGTGAGTATATATACAGTATATACTGACCATAGTAAAGGGAAACTCTTTCATCCGACTTCTTATTTTTTTTACATTTCATTGTAAATCAGATATAATAACCCTTGATTTAGTGTCGGGATACTGGGTGTCATAGAGGGTCTGACGTGTTTCAAACGCTTGTCGTCACCCTGCTCATCGTTTTCATTCAAAGCTTGATATTTGTTATCCCTGGAAACAAAGAGATGTAAGTGTGTCTCCTTTTAATCAAGGTTTGGAAATGATCAAGTACTAATAGTCTTTGCCAGTATTCAAATGTGCAGTATACACAGGGTATTCAATTAACCACAAGACACAGGGATCTGATGACTTCTGAACTGTACTGTCTCCTGAACTAAAATGCGTATCTTCCTTAATCCTGCCAGGGGTTTATATACCACAGGATTTGAGGGTACATTCAGAAGGGGAGTAGGACACCTGTGTGCGCGTGTGCAGGTGTCGTTTAACAACTTCCAGATGCAGGGAATTCTGCGCAGTTAGGGGGTTGCCATGCTCTGGGGTTATTATGTGCACGTCATCAGGGGTCTGTGCACGTGTCTCAGTCTGTGTCTGTCAGTCCAGGTGTACTGAGATGGACAGGGATGGAAGAATATTAATATACTTTATATGTTAATCTATTGTCTCTTCCTGGTGTTATGAATAACACCAAGTATCTATATTTGCTTGATAGCGAATATTCTTGCAATATATATTGGGGAATTAACATATAATTTCCACCAATAACATATTGTTGTTATTTTGAAGTAGGTGGCATTATGAAAAGAAAATTGGTGCATAGCCAATGATGTTTTGAGGTTTTGGGTTTTTTTTCCGGATTTTTAGAACAGTTTTTAAATTTACTGCATGATGATAATTGAAAACTTACCATTTACAGCCAGATTTCTCTCTCCATATATGTCACAGGGTTCTACAATATGTCAGGCTGGGTAAAAAAAATTAATTTGGTCAGTGTTTTCACCATGATCTAAATTTTCTAAAATATCGAAAACATATTGGGTAAAACAACCAAAAATGCAATTTGTTTCTGGCCTGACACATATTTAGCACCCTGTAACATTTACGGTCAGATTTTTCTCTCCATGTCACAGCTGGGTACTGAAATTTGCCTGGCTATAGGTAAAAAAAATTTTTTGTCAATGTTTTTAACCATGGTCCATGAATCAGAAAAAAATAATGATTAAAGCAACAAAAAGTTCAATTTTTCTGGTCTGACACATTTTTCACACCCTACACTCTGTACGAAATTATCAGCGGTTGGGTCCAATTAAAACAACCCTCGAATATTGTAAATTTTGAAGAAAAAAAACGCATGCCAGCCTGAGTAAAAATTGTAGGTTACGCAACGTTTAAATTATCTCGTAGTGTACTGCATACAAAGCGGGTTCGCTGGCAGAAAATTGTCACGAAACTGCGTGGATCTCTTTGAAACCAGAGATGGTACAAGTGCGACATGTCATCAAGTAAATCGGAAAGTCAAACCTTGCGGCTGGCGTGTTGTGAGTTGAAGCTATTCCTGGACACATACTGTATAGTACTAGGTTTTCCCCAGCAGTGTAGCTGTAGATCATTCATTGAATTAGTTCTTCTCGTGTTTTCTTACGCCCTTTGTAATATGAACCGTGCTATGGAAATTGATTGGTCTAATATATGAGAGTGTAAAAATGAGATTCTGTGAAATTATTGAACAAGAGGCATAAATTGATGATTAGTCATCAGAATTCACTTACTTTACTGCATCTATATTCCTGACGCTACACAGAAAGCCTAAAAAGGATTTTTGACGAATCTAATTTCCAAGTAACAGAAATAAAGTTTTCGTATGAGCAAATGACAAGGAATTAATTCGCAAGAACACGGTTTTCAGATATAGAAACACATTTTGAAATACCCCTGAATATATTTTTCGAGGGAATTGATTTTTTCGGAATCCGAGACACAAAACTTCATGACTTCGTCTAAAATCCATTTCGGGTGATTTTGTTGATTTTTATTGAAATTCAGCCTGTCTGCAACGGAGGAGTCGAGGAAGGAATTTAAAAATACTGCCTTTCCATTGCGGAACTTGGTAGTCTTTTTTAAGGGAAGGCTGTACACTCCTTGTAAAAGCTTTTCATGCCATAAACTAGAGTAGACCCTTTGCTGTTGGTGACCGAAGTCACTACAACAAGAAAAGCTAGGCTGTAAAGAAAGAAATTAGTTGATAAAAGAATTCAAGAAAAACACAGAATCAGCCCGGGACAAGGGCCGGGAATTCACGGTGGAATCCCACCTCCTCAGCTCCTTCCTTAAATTTTTATGACGGAAAGGTAACGCCTTGAACCATCAGAAAAAATTCCCTTCCGACATGTGAGGAACATTTTCGAAAAGTACGGTATTTGATCTCATCTGGGAAACGGAAGAGCTGAACCTTTGAAGTCGGACAAGTTTTTATGTGATGTCAGTCATAATTTCAACTGAAGAATAGGAATTTTGCCTTCACCATTGAGATCTGCTGTCAGACTGATTCAAAAGCCAGGGATTCCAACAGTAATATTGTTAAAAAAAAAGAAAAGCATTCTATGCAATTCCCGATATCTCCGTCAACTTATTGCCTAGAATTGACGCACTATTCAATCATCGTTATTCTGGACGTGCATCGCATCGGTGAATTGCTGAATGCACGTGTTCAGTGAATTCACGTGGTTCTCAGTCATGATATGTTTATTTTTAACTGATCTTCTGTTATGCATTTATCGAAATAAATATACAGCACCAAGATGTGCTTTAAATGTAAAAAATACGTGAAGCTACGATTCAAAGACTGTATGTTTTCCCAAACACGAAATCTTCCCGATTGAAACCTCATTCATCGGAAAGGTAACAGTGTTTGTCATTGAAGACTCGAGAAGAAATTTTCGCATTTTCTTCGTTCGCTGAAAAAAAGCTATCTAAGTAAGGGATTTACCATTTAGTTCTCGACTCAAGCACTGAGTATCGAAGTACTGAATATGATTATTTGAAGGAAAATTTAATCACAGCTGTTGAGGGTCTCGGTCAAATTAGTGCCGAAATGAAATCAGCGCCTCCCAACTGAGCGCAAGGGAAAACTGAGAGCCATCGAAAACATCGTCACCTTCATCAACTGAAAGTTCTTAAAACAAATATCTTCAAATATAATTCCAGTGAGGAAAGCAGTACGCTTCATACTCGTACACGACACCATTTTCTCGAGCACTTCAAAAGTCGGGTAATCCTTAATTGCTTTCACTGGATGGATTTGGTCATCATTCTGAAAACCATTTGATGATGCATTCCGCGGTATATTTTTAATGAGTACCTCACACCAAGAACAAGCAGAAATTTGTTTAGCCTAGTAAATTGAAGTTTTGCTTGAATTAAATATAATTCACGTGCGGAGGAAAGTAATTTACAGAGAAGACATTCGGGTGGTGAAAAAATTGCTTAAATAAACGTGTTTTCGTTTCAATCAGAATTTTTTTTTTTGAGGAAATAACGGCGATACTTCTGTTGCGATAGAACCCAAAAACCCAGAATCGAACTGCAAAGCAGAGAAAGAATCAACTCTTTTCTTTCTCTTTCCTAGGACAGCAGGCAGTGATAAAAAAGCACTTTCCTGTCTATTTTTCACCATAATACTCCAGACCACCCAGAATAAATTCAGAAAAGGAAGATTTTTTCCCTGAAGAAAAGGCGGCACTCGTTTCGTCTCACTGAAAAACAAGAAACCCGAAACGTGCGGGAACCACCCCAAGAGGAAGCACACGTTTCATTCGATGGGGTTTATAAATAATTCCTCGACCAATACATTCGTTTGCACTCGTGGCGGGGCACAGACGAGAAGAAGAAGAAGAAAAAAGCGTGAGAGCTAAAGGGAAAAACTTTGGTTCGCAAATGAAGGAAATGGCAATGGCTTGCTTATTCTGCCCAACAGTGCCTTGGTGCTGTCATGAATTCTTCAGCAGCAGAAGAAGTGGTTCAACAGCAATCTCGTGTGGGCTTTCGAACCGAACTGATTCCGTCAGTTTCTATCGATGAAGAAGGAAAAAAAAGACCACGAACACCTAGG